CGGCGCGGCCGGCCCCGGCTTTGCCGCTCTTTGCTGGCCGAGCGGGAGCAGGAAGGCAGTTTGCAGGTCTTCAGGACGGTCTTTTCGGGCCTCTTTCCCCAAGGGCGCAGAAGTGTGTCGAGCTCAGCCCCTTCCCAGATGTGGGCACCCAGCACCTGGGAATATCTCAAGGACACCTCCTGGTGCAGCCTGTTGGGCCAGTCCACGGGGAGACCCCGGCAAGCCAGTGCCCTCCCCGAGCCCTTCGTTTCCGGGACAGGAGCTGACATAAGTGGCCGGGCCCTTTGCCAGCTCCCCGGGGGCTCAAGGAGGGGCAGGACGTCCCTTTGCGGCTGTGCAGAGCTGGTGCGAGGGACCCTGCACAGGACAAGGTGTGCTTAGTGCTGCACCCCCCCCCCAAATCGACCTCCCCTTGCCATGCAGCTGCAGGGAGGCTCCGGCCAGGTGTGCATCCCTGGGATCCTTCGCAGGGCGGAGATTTAATAGGGTGCAACCAGCCGCTCTGCCTGGCGGTGGCTGCATTTCCCACCAGTCCTGCCTTTTCCGAGCAGCACCCTCTCACGTGGTTCCCCCCAGCACCCTGCCCAGGGCAGGTGCTCCCAGCCCATCCCTGCAGCACATTGATGTGCTTAACCCGAAGGCATCTTGCTGAGGCTGCTAAAGCTCGGTGCACGTGAGAAGTGAGGGTTTCGACAGCTTGGGGAGCACAGGGCCAAAGCACAGCCTGATCCCTGCCCAGCCTCACTGTGCCACCTTTCGAGGAGAGGCAATGCTGGCATTTCGGCAGGCACATCCCCCCGGAGGACCCGTGACGAGGGGGCGGCCGGTGAAGGACTGCAAACCAAAGCAAGGCCAACAGCCCGGAGAGCAGGCTGCCCGCTGGTAACGGCGCCTGCGGGACACCTTCCCGCGCACAGGAGCCTGCGGGCAGGCGGCGTTCCTGGGGTGCTGGGGCTCGGATACGGGAGCAGTGCCGGGATGTAGCGCTGCCAGGGAGGCGATGGGAGAGGGGTCGCCCCCCGCCCCGGGGAGCAGAGCCTCCTGGTCCGGGGGATTAGGCACGCTCCATCCCCACGGGTGGGGGCTGAGCCCTGCTGCCCCCCCCAACACCTCTAGGGTCAGCTCCTCTCTTTGCCCCAGGCCAGGGGAGGCG